CAGGGCCAAGGAAGCGCTCCCGGGAAGTTGGCCTGTAGGTTTCCTGCCCGCCGTGTGAGTGTGCGCGTCGCGTTTCGGGGCTGTCCCCGCCACCGCCACCCCCTTTTCCTCCTTTATTTATTTATTTTGCCCCCCTCCTCCTCTGCTCCAGCTTCCTCGCCGATTCGTAAGGAACCGGTGGATCAAGTTTTTCTCTCTCTCTGCTGCTTAATCGCATTGCTGTAGCACCGGCTGACCTGCCTTCCTTCCTCCCTCCCTCCCTCTCCTCTCTCTTTTTGTTCTTCATCTTCCTTGAAAGTATCTGCCATTCCCGAGCGACTTTCCCGGCCGGCCGGCTCATCCCGGGGCTGCCGGCTGCCCTCGCCGCATGCCCCACCTGTAAGTGCCGGGGGCTGCGCTCCCCTCTCCCTCTATCCACATTTTTCCTCTTTTATTCTTCTTCTTTTCATTTTTCCCCCCCCAATGTAAACTTTCCACATCTCGCTGTATCTGCAGCACGAGCGAGAGGGGAGGGGAAAAAAAAAAGAAAAAAAGAGGAGGGGGCAACAAAAAACCCAAACTCCTCCATTCGTTGTGAAAAGCAGCTGGGATTTGCCATCACAGCCTAAAAAAATGGTGACCAAACTTTTTCTTTATTTTTTTTCCTTCCCTCCCCCCTCCTCTCCTACTCCCCACTCTAAGAAATAAAAATAATAAAAACGCAGCAGTGTTTTAATTTTGGTCATGGATGTTTCTGTGTTTCTTTCTTGCCTTCCTTTCCCTTCCTCCTCCCTTCCTCCCCTCTCTTTTCTTCCGTTCCATTGGCTGGGATGAGCTTTCCCTGTTGCTTCTGATGGTTCTTTCTTTCCCTCAGTGTGTGCCTGCCTTACCTGGACTAGGGGGAAGAGAAGGTAATTTTGAAGGGCTTGAGGAAGCTGCTTGCCTGTTTTGAAAACTTTCTCTATTTTTTTTTTCTTGATGTTTCTTGGAAAAAAAAAAAGTCGTGTGAAAAATCAGTAATTGAGGAGAGTCTGATAGCAGCCGAGCAGGTTGAAATTTAAGTGTTATGTGCTGAATGCCTTGGGAATTTGATCTGCTTTATACCAAAGATGAACACAGAGAAAAGTATTTATTTATTGGGGGAGAGCAGGCGGGAAGGGGGAGGAAAGCGGGTTAAGGGAGGGGGAGGGAAGTGGTTTTGGAGACAAGAAGTGAAGCTGCCTGTTTTCCAGTAAGTAATGGAGAAATTCCAGGAGCTAGGGCTAAATATACTTGGCGATCAATACAGAAATGGCTCATTGTGAATAATTTAGCTGCCTGGTGCAGTGAGAGTTTTGAAACTAAAGGCAAAAAAAAAGAGGCCGTGGAGGGAGAGAGGAAATAAAATTCTCCTCTGGTCATGTCAGTTCCTTAACTTTTCCACTTAAAAGAACATAGTTATGATTATTGATCTTGCTTTCTCTTTTTTTTATTTCTTTTTTTTTTTCAATATATATCAAATGATAGCTAGGGGGTGTCATTCTATACAGTTACTTGGGTTTCTGGAAAGTAATAGCTTGTTCTGTGTCAGCAAAGTGTTTCCAGAAACTTTTAAGATTGCCTCGCGCCACAAAACGCGTGGTCTGGGAGCGTAGGAGCGCCCGCGAGCCCCGTGCTGGGGCTGACGAGTGAGGTTAGGGTGACCAGGTGTGGGTGCAGGTGTGTGTCCGTGTGTGCTGGTGGCAGAGCGGGGTTGTGAGACAGGCAGGGGGCTGTAATAGGACTGTTAAGGGAGGCTGGATGCTGGGGGGGCGGTTTATTTTGCTCGGAGCAGGATGGCATCTCCCTGTGAAAAGAGCAATTGTTAATGGTCTCCATCTCCTCAAAGTCTGTTCTGGCTGTGAGAACTGATAATTGATAAAGCGCTACAATCCCGGCTCCAACAAAGCAAGCTCGGAGGAAAAAATGAAATAAAAAAAACTCAAATCGGGTAAAATGTGAGTGGGAAGCTGCAAGGGTGTACACAGACCAGGATGATCCCAGGGCAGCCTGTGCAGGAGGCGGCTGCACTTCTGCACTCAGGTAATTTGCAGGAGTTGGGTGATTTGCAAACGAGTACATGCAGCAGCAGCACCCTTGGGTGTTTCTCTAGGCAGTGGTTGCAACAGCAGTGAAATAGGTGACTACTTAGGGCTTTAAGTAAGTTTAATCATTTAATGGTTGATACTGACAGGCGTCGTTGAGGGTGTACTTTTCTGCCTTGCAGCACTGCACTTTGACTATGGAAGCAGAGGCTGCTGATGGATATATAACATGTAAGTAGTCATTTTATTTAATTATTCTGAATTACTTTCCCTTTTCCCACTATCCCTGCATAATGCAGCCAGAAACTTGAGCTTCCTGGTGTATGATCTTTGCTTTAAGATAGCACTGAATTAATTGCATTTGAACGTAAACTTTGTGTGTGACTGAAAATGAGTGTGTCTGGGCACAAGGGTGCGAATGCATATATTCCAGTATTTGCTAAGGATGAATGAACTTTGCAAAAGAGAGAGTTCATTTTCAGAAATTCAAAATGCAGCCAAAAGCTTTACATATTTTCACTGCATTTCTTCCATTTTCTGCGTCAGGGAAAAAGATTTAAGTGTATTGTTCAGCTGTCAGTGAAGTGAAAGCTTTCAGGGGAAGGTCTGTACTGAAATACATCCCTTTAGTCTTCCCTTGCCCGGTCCTGGTTCTCTGTGCTTGCGAATGGGAGAGTAAATACTAATGTCTGCTGATTGCAGCAGCTGGGGCAGGATTTTCACAACTGTGGGTATAGGAGTGGTTTTAGTAGATTTAAGGGAACTCTTAAAAATCCACCAGTTGCACATGAACTTGTGGCCCCTGCGAACCCAGTTTTTGCAGATTTTGGGAAATTCCTGTAGTGCAGGGCGCAGGGGGAGCGAGTGGGTGGCGGTTCTCAGCCGTGGGGTCGCCCTGCAGACGGAGGGGATGGAAACTCACGGGTGCCGCGCTTTGTGCCCGCAGGTGACAACGAGCTTTCCCCCGACAGGGAGCACTCGGGCATGGCTATCGACCTCACCTCAAGCACACCCAATGGGCAGCATACCTCACCCAGTCACATGGCGAGCAGTAAGTCTCCTTTTAAACGTGGTGCTCCCCAGGAGCCCGTTCGGCTCGCTCAGGTCCTTGCCTTGCTAGGTCCTCGCCACTGCTGTAGCCTTTGCTAATAAGAGAAGAGGACGGGGCAGACTCGCTCTTGTTCGTTCTGGTGTCTCATCTGAACATGAACGGGATTGCTAGTCTGAACTATTCCCAGGTGGCATTTGAGAGCTGGTCTTTACCTGTTCCAGGTAGGAGAACACCAGGCTTTGCTTGTCCTGGTTTTGTTTCAACAGGTTTTGAAATCCAAAGGGAAACGATTATTACTATTGTTATTTTCAGTGCTTCCAAAACCAGCTTACAATAGCTCTATTTAAAAACAAACATGCTTTATTTACAAAAAGGCTTTACTCTGGCAAAAATATGAAGTTAAAAAATCTGGGCTTGATGGCAGGTTGTATTTTTTTTTTTTTTTTATTCCATATAGAAACTTCAGCGTCGTATTTATTACCTTAGCTTTGCCTTGGCAAGTTCAAAAGATGGCCAGGATTACTGGAAATTTATGGCACTTGGTGTTGACTCTTTAATAAACTGAAAGGATTTTGTTTTAGAATGTCAAGGGAGAAAATGAGAAAATGTAGAGAGATTTGGGAGTTTGCAGAGAGTGTCAAGTGCTCATAATATTTTCATAATTATCTTTCACGCTATTTTTTTGGAGGTGGTGGGGTATAGATGTAGTTTACATGCATTTCATAAAGCCAGCATCCTTCCTGTTTTTTTTTCTTTTTCTTTACAATAGAGAGTGCTAAAGCTTGTTTTATTGTTGGTTACAATGTTATATGTATAACCTCCATACTTATATTCAAAACTAATTCCAAATGCTTTGATTCCAATATACTTTAAGAGAGCTCTTCTGCTGTATGGGTATTAATTGTCTTTTTAGTGTGTGAACTCTAGATAAATATTTATCTTTTCAGAAGAAATGTTTGTGTAATTCCCCACTACATACTCTGAAAGAAATAGCGAGCTTTTAGAGTAGCTTGCTTTAAAATACCCCCTGTATTGCTTTCGGTCTTTCTTGCCGAGGAAAAAGATGTTACTTTCCTTTAAGAATTTCTTCCTTTCTCCTGCAAATTATGAGTTAAACGCAGATTTTATGAGCCTTTAAAACTGAGGGTTATTATGAAGATCTCCAATTATATACATGTTGCTAGAGAATATGATTGCTAATACTCTGGACTGAACTTTATATGACAACCTATCATAATTCAGCATCTTTAGACAATTCCAATCCTGCTGCACTGGGATTCTGATATATTTTATTATGTTGTAAAAGTTTTACTACTCACTTTCTTCATTTTCTTTGTTTCCTTTTTTATTAATGGGAAGGCTTCATTGGAAGGGGAAAAAAAATCTCCCCACTTTAAATCTTCTTTATAATGTAGACTAAAAACCAGTGTAAAACTGGGGAATAAAAGATCTGGGATGAAGTCATGCAAAAAGTAGTTTAACACGTTCAATATTTTGGTGTTCACTGCGTTAACATTTTCAACGATTTTTAAGCTTCGTTAGCTCTTGCAACACACATGCAACTACAGCTTCAGTGAACATTTTTCTTTTTCTTTTAAATGTATTTTGTGGTATCTCGCAGGTGTCTTCACTCCTTTCATCACTGGTGCTCTCTGTTAAGTCTGTGCTCCTGTTGACAAATTATGGACTCTGTCTAGCATTCTGAAGCCAAAACTCGAGTTTCTTAAATTTGTTGCAAGTTCTTTATTCTTAGCAAGCATCAGAGCAGCGTCTTGAGGAGAGGCGGTTTGCTCTGCGTTAAGCACGGAAGGTATTGATTACAGGTTGTCAGTTCTGGTGGCAGTTGCTGCCTTGGTTCACTCATGTTTTTTGGCCAAAACTTCCATCTAGCATGTACAGACTACATCAGTGGGCTGTGCCTTAGAGCTTGCCACCTGTTTTGCTGGGTAGAGGAAGGCTTTTGAAAGACACTTTTTTTGTTTGTTTTTCTTTTTGAGGTAGAGGGGGAAGACTAGGAAGAAATAGCTGCACAAAATATTTCGTGTGAATTTGGTTGCTGTCGTGGGGTTGATCCATCCTCAGTCTTGCCACGGTGCTGTGAGGAGGCCTTCGAAGCAGTGATTCACTGTGAGCAGAGGAAATGGCTGTGCTGTATTTAGGTGTAGATTTAGGAGTAGTTTGATATCTAGTGGAGTCCCTGGAGAGACTGGTGGCCCTGTAGTGAAACCCAGGGCACGTCACCCACCCAGGCAGCTTTGCTACTGGCCTGAGTGGTACATAAGGTGGTGCATACATGAGACCCCAAATGTTTCACTCCCAGAGTTGTCCTCGGAGGATCAAGGGCCCTGTTTTGTTTTGTGCTCAGGGTAGGTACCTGCAGGCTCCAGAGCAGAGTTTTGACCTTTGTTCTTGCGTTCCATCGAATCATTCCGAACCACAGCTCTTAATTTAGTCTTAATCGTGTCTGGCTCAAACAGAGGCAAAACCATAAGAAGCAAATTTCTTGGACCTGCGCTGAAACGACGGCTCTCCCAGCAACAGTAAAACTATGTGCTAGGCAAAGAGTTTTCGATGTTCATTAGCCCCTGGCAATTCCATGTTAGTCAGCGTTCTGGCTGGGCTACCGATATTTTCGGGTTCTGTTCCAAAAGGTTTCAGGTTAAATATTTTGGCTTGTGCTGGAGAGACGTGTGCTGCATCCTCTAACCTATTAGCATTCTCAGGTATCTAAACTACATGTATGGATTATGGGGCTGACACTCAATTTTCCTTGTCAATGAGATGATCCTGAAAGATGAATCGCAGTAAATCGCCTGTCATAGCTAACTAATGATCTTACATCCACCTTACGGTATGGGTCTGCCTTTAGCGGAATAGTGCGCGTATGTTGGCAAGTGCTCTGTTCTGAAATACTTTATTGTAGTTTTATGTAAATAGAGATTTAAAATAGGTGTAAATAATCAAACTTGAATAGGTAGATTGATCTCACTTTTCTCTCTAATGAGAGACAGATTAGGGCTCTACATGCTTAATAAAGATGATGTATTTACATAAAAATCTGTATCCAGATTTTTTGTAACTCTTTAGGAGAACTGACATCCAGAGCTGGGTATCAAAGACCTGCTCAGACTTTCTGAGTAAAGTGTGTATTAGTGCTGGAAAGTTCAATGCATGGCCTCAAGTCCTCCTCTAGAGCCCACTGAATTCAGTCTCGTTGCCTTCAGTTAATGTTCGAATTAGTCTTAAGGGATCTTGAATCTTGGAGCAGGAGCTGCTTTGCTAATGCAAAGATGATGGGAAATCTGTGTAAAATAGGTTTTTAAAAGAAACAATTTCTGGCTGCCTCTTCATAATACTGTGCTGAACCCTTACACTAGAGTTGTTGGAGAAAATTTGAACAAACTTAGAAGAAGGTCTCCTTTAGAAACTGCATGGGCACACTCGTTTGATTAGTTGACCTGATGACCCCTTTTTATGGGATGAAGGATATTTCTCTGAGACCACTTGCCTGGTGCTATATGGAAAATAATAACAGCAGCTATTAGCATCTGACAGAGGAAATTTCCTCTTAAATTAGAGACTTAAAAGGTATTGCAGTGGGCATCCTAGATAACTTCCTTATCTCTGCTTTGAGAGACAAAGGGAGCCCTTAAACGAAATGGAGTCAGAACAATCATAAATATCAAACCCAACATCTGATTTTGGAAGGTGATTAAAACTGTGGTACACTTTCAAGATGTGTTTGTAATCACTTAGAAGTGTTGCTAACTTATGAGCAATAATTTATTAAGAAAATAAGCGTCAACTGATACAGTTGCTGAAAATAATGAGGCAATCTAATTTTCGGTGTGCTGGGGAATGATCGCGCCATCTGACAAGATATCTGTGGGGACAATAGTGTTAAGTGTGAGTGATTTCAGTAGCAATATTTAAGATCAGAATCTGTTACAGAGAACTTGTGTGAGGCCTTTTTATGAGGCAACCGATGCTGTATTCCTAGCGATCAGGATACTACTCTGAATTATCCAATGCATCTTTCTTTTATTCTTCTTCTTTGGTAATTTCAAAACCCCAAGTCTTTCTTGGTTGATCTAATTTCTCATCTGGAAACTGTCACAGAAGATCTGTTTGTCACAGTTGTGTTGCCCTGAGCAAAATGTTTCATGCAGCACAGCTGTATCAGCATCACATCTGTGGGGACAAGAGAGCATAACCGTGTGCTCTGTCTGCTGGAGTGAAGCTGTGTAAAATTGGAGTGTTTCATGCCTCAGCTACACAGCCAACGGGCCCCATCGTCCCCAGAAGCGGCTGCCTGGGCAGTGAGTCTAGGCTTTGTGCTGGGGTCCTTCTTGACTGTCCCATACAGAAGCTGTGGGTTCCCAGGCTGAAGGGCAGAGAAGATGCCCCATGAATTTGTACATAAGGGCTGAGCTCAGTAGTGTGACGGGGAGCTGGGAGAAGTGAGCTGGGCTTGCTCTCTTGCACGCTTCCAGGAGCATTGACTTCACTGCAGTGTTTTAGCCTTGGGCTCTCTGAGAACTGCTGCGGGGAACAGCACTGGTGGAAGATTGAGCCAATCGGTATAGTTTCCAGGAAGTTTAAGGAGAAGAAAAAGAAACGATCGGGCTTTATACAGAAGCCTAGATTTTTAGCCATGTGCAGGATACAAACAGAAGCCTTGCAGAGCAGTGTTACACAGATTAAAAATGGTTACCTAGAAGTGAAATACTGTGGGTTGCTGTAGCATCATCTACACCAGGTTAGGTTCTTCACATCATTACAATTAAAATAATAAATAATAAAAATAATGACAGCCACCAGGTAGCCCCAGAAACTAGTTGGTAGTTGCGTAACTCCCTGTAGCTCACACCCTGCTGGGGAAAGGGCCTCCTGTGTGTTTTTCATAGCTTCTGTCAGTATCTGTCAGGCATTCCCTGTGGAAGCGAGCGCTTGTGTGCAGCAACATTCCTCTTCCTTGGTGAGTGTTATAATGAGGGTGG